GCTATGTTGGGCATATGTTGGGGATATGTTGGCTATCTTGGGCCTATGTTGAGGATATGTTAGGCAATGCACGTCGTCTGGAGGGCCTCTACCCACAAAATGTCGATTAAGCCTGTCCGCCCGGCGCGCATTACCGACACCACCCTTGAAAAACACAGCATTTTTGCATTTCTCCCTTTTCCCCGCGTCGTACTTCGATATGCGCAATTAACCCTGTAAAACACAGTGTTTTTTATACCTCACACACACGATACACTGTAAATTACAGGGGCATCAGTGACCCGGTAGTGACGACGGGGTCCCCCCGTTTTGGGAACGAGGGTCGGCGGCAGCCGGCGCGACCGTCTATAACTTTCGGTTACCACCGAAGGCCCTCCGGGCATGCCACGGGCTTCGTGGCCGGCGCCCGGATTTACCAGGCTACCGCCTGCAGCCGCCGACCCCAAGGGAAAATGTAGTGGCAGGGTTGGGTCCCGGGATGGTGGCGGGCAGGGCCCAGCCAGTGCAATTTGTTTTTCATAGAAGTGGGTACGTTTTCCGCTGGATTTGTAGGATGTCAAAGGTTGTCGCAGCATTTACCTAGGAATGCTCTTGCTTTTTGCTAGAGCCTTTCCTGGATTTGTAGGAGTTTCAAAGGCTTTTCCAGCACTTCCTCTGGTTTATTTGGGTATGTGTACAGGCATCGTGTCGGTTTTTGGGTTCCCAGGTTTGCGGAAAACGTTACAAAATCTAGCACAGACCATAGGCGCTAGCAGGAACCCGGAGCCCGGCAACAAGCCTCCGGAGGGGTAGGGGAGGTAAGGCTAAGGCCAAGGATAAGGCTTAAGGCTAAGGCAAAGGATAAGGCTTAAGGCTAAGGCTGTTGATTTATAGGTTAGCAATAGGTTAGCAATTTTTCGGGGAAATCTGGGAACCCAAAAACAAGAGGAAATGCTAGAAAATCCTTTGAAAAGCATACAAATCCAGCGGAAAACGTAACAAAATCTAGACAAAGCCAAGCGAATTCCTAGGAAAATGCTGGAAAAGCCTTTGAAAATCTCACAAATCCAACGAAAAACGCAACAAAATCTAGGAAAAATCAAGGGCATTGGCCGGGACCACGCCGCGACCAGCCCGGGATTCGAGCCCGGGACCATTTTGGACCGTGCTTATTTTCCCGCGCGGGTGGAGAGGGTGCCCCAAGATGTAAATCAATTGGGATGGCAAAATCTTGGACAATTCTTGGCAAAATTTTGTCGAAATCTCGTCACTCCAACAAGCCTCCGGAGGGGTAGGGGAGGTAAGTCTAAGGCTAAGTCTAAGGCTAAGGATAAGGCTTAAGGCTAAGGATAAGGCTTAAGGCTAAGGCTAAATCAACAGTCACGCCTCACCCCACGAGTGGGGTCGGCGGATTTCTGGAATGAGTGAAACAGTGAAACATGTCCAATCTGAAACAACTTCAAAGAGATGTACTGAGATGTGAGTGATCAGGCGCACCAAAGAGCTGCTTTCAGAATGCCCAGACAGGTGTCACAGGCGTGGGCACGTTGAATGAAGATTTGGGTGTGGAATTAATGCCGTACCAGGTTTGGGGCCCGTCTGGGCAAGGTCAAGCAACCGAAGCAATAAGCAACCGAAGCAATCATAGGTGAACATCAATACAGTTCTTGGTTGGGTTAGTTCGCCAAATTTGGCAACGTTCGAAAGGATTTACCTCAGCAATATTACAATATATATATATACACAGCACGTGGAATATTTTCAGGGCTTTTAGACACACCATGGAAAACGACACCAGCCCATGAAAAACAATGTTTGTTTCAGTGGATTTGAATGTGCATTTGTGTGTTTGGCCTACCAACAAATAATTTGCTGGGGCGAAGCAAAGAACGATATCACACCGATACCTACAATGATGGCCAAACGTACCAACATCTGCTTTGCTGGACCCTGGCCCAGATGCACAATACTTTCGAGTGGAAGAAGCGACAACGACATTAGCTTGTAAGAAGCAAGAGGTTGATGTTGTTTCTACGGGCAATGTGACAAAGCGATACCGGTACATTAAAAACAATGAAACAATTTCCCCTGTAGCTATTACATCGCTCAAATGATCTCAAATGTATGCCCTGGATTGGGTTTTATTCAAAAGGCGTTAGTTAAAGCATTTTATGGAAAGATCCAGCACAAGCTGTTCGCTGTTGTAGAATGAACGAGTGCCGAGTGCCCACATCAACTCAAGTTCACCTGACATTTCGAGTGAATTGCATTGCCATATCCTGTTACTCATGCGACAGGACACGGCGGAACTTTGCAGAGCGCATGCCCCAGAATGAGCTCATGGAATGGTATGAACTTGCAAGAAGCCAGCGAAGTTTGTGCGTTTGCAGAAGCAAGCCATTGCAAGGCACAGAGCAAACAAGCTACTTTGGGTAGCATGCCACCCAGACAGGTGTCGCAGGCTTGGTGACATCAGATATATCCGGCATTCATATTACTTATTAGGCTCTGAGGTTCATTCACTAGGTGTTGAAATGTTATGTGAGAGGGAACTTCCATATCAGCCGCAGTTTAGTAGAAGAATGTAAAGAGATCCAAGAGAAACTGGAGTGCCCACACTTTCCCAGTTTATTTATGCCCTTGGCCCTTGTACCCGTTTTATGTATTTTTGTGTTTGCAAGTAGCTTTCATGTGACAGGACACGGCTAAAGTCTGTAGGGTCGATGCCTTAGGAAGCGAGTTTGAACTTGACCTAAGTGATGGATTTTGTGCTTGTAGATGCAAGCTGCTGAGTAAAGTACAAGATTGCCAGTACTTTTGAGTACCAAGGCGCCAAGCAAAAGAGGCATGCCACCCAGACAGGTGTCACAGGCGTTCTCTTTCAATGGGTGTCAAAGCAAAAGGTCAAACACACACCGATTCAGTTTTGTGCAAGAAAGTCCCAGTCAGTTAGCATTGAGAGATCACACATATATCTCAAGTTTACACTTGCTGCTCACGCGACTCGCCACAGGACACGGCGGAACTCTGTAGAGCGCATGCCCCAGGATGAGCTCATGGAATGGTATGAATTTGCAAGAAGCCAGCGAAGTTTGTGCGTTTGCAGAAGCAAGCCATTGCAAGGCACAGAACAAACGAGCTACTTTGAGTAGCATGCCACCCAGACAGGTGTCGCAGGCTTGGACTAAATGCACATCAACTATCGAATCTCGCATTTCAGTCATCCTGTTTAGTGTCAGAAGCTGTCCAGTCCTTTTACCTTTTTTAGTGCAAGCAAACCACATATCACAGCGAGCGGTTTTGACCGCGCGAGCCTGCTTTGTTGCTTCGGTGGTGTTGTATCTTGTTTCGTTGCAGGACAGCGCTGGAGTGTATGCCTTAGATATGATTCCACATTTTTGGGGTTGCCTAAAATCTTGCCAACTCCGACATTTCTGTACGGAAGCCTCTTTGTACCGGCCCTGTGTGCTGGCTTCTCTCTTTCAAACCCGAAGGCTTCAAGTTCAAATTAGTTTGCTTGAGATTTTCCTGTGCGTACATTAGTTACATGGATCAAACTATACATTATTATACAGTAATATACAAAAACGTGGCCGAATCTGGACAATCCGCCTAGCTTCCCTTCAAACACGTTCGTGTTGTTTCGACAGTCCCAGACGCTTCTCGTTCATAGCCAGGCTTCCCAGCTTTTCATGGCTCATGCAGATGCCCCTATTCCAAAATGTTGTTGGAGACCAGGTGACAAGACATTGTGATCAGCTTCCATATATGGTGAGAGTATTCAAGATATTTCAAGAGTACCAAGCAAACTTAAAGCCTGACGGGTGGGGTAGCAGCTGTCCTGCAGTGGTTGTGCTTAGTCTTTTAGGTGTGACACTGTGAAACATATCTTGATCCCAAGCCTGAGGTGTTTCATCACTCTGCCTCACTTCATTTGCCAGAAGTGTCAAGGCATCACTCTCACTCATTCTGAACCCATTCAATCATGTGAGTCTCTGAGATTGCAAATGTTTGGCAGGTCATCGGAGCTTTGCACAGCTGACTCTGTGGCAAAGTTTGATGTTCTATAAGTTTAAGTCTATGTATGAAAGACAGTTTAGGATTCGGACAAACAATTAGACCGTTTAGGGTTTGCGCAGTGGTTTGCGAATGTTGACGCCAATTAGAGATGTTTGTTTCTCGCCTAGGAACGCAGCAGTTCCAGACAGTCCGTAAGCTCGGTTACATCTGAACACGATCCCAGATCGAAGCGTTTATCCTTTATTGATTGCTCCATTGACGCTTGTCACAAGGCTTAGACAAAGAGAGAGGACATATACCGTAACCACCAAAGTTATATTTATATATTGTTTATGGTTGTTTCTAATATTATACTATTTGTTTTTTTGTTTTCGTTGCTCTGGCTTCGCAGCCAGCAACTGTGCAGGAAATGGTGCCATTGCCACCTTAAACAATTGCAATGTGGACTCGTGGACCTGTGATGAACAGGTGAAATAACAAAATGAGTTTAGGATAGTTTGGGCTTTGGCCCACGGAGCAATAGTTTTGCTTCATGATCGAGCATCCAAGGATGACCTTGATGAGCTTATCCTTGCTGAAAGTGAAGGCTCCAGACTTGTGCATATGAGATCAAGAGCTGAACTGCGCTCATTGAAAGGGTCAGATGAGTCAGATGCTGTTGATTGTTAAAGCGGACAAGGAAAAGCAGGGGCGAAAGTAGGGATATGAAGGGAGTCCACGTTGAGGTGACGTGCTGGTGACGTTGCATCAAGCGTTCAGAGGTTATTTATTGTTATTGATTCATCAGCTAATCCCCTGTCAGGTGCTGATTGGTTCAAAGACTTCTGGGGTACTGTGCTGACGCAACAGCCTGTTTGCCGAGCACTGTCCAACAGATCTTTAGTGAACTGGGTGGCGATCTACAACAGATGGCAGGCAAGAGTCAGAGTCATCCTTGCAATAGCCTGAAATGGCTAGCACACAGACACAGAAGCCAGTAGTTGAATTTCTTCGGAGACAATGTTGCTTTTTGGGGACTTTCCTGAGGATGCCCAAGTGTAATTTGTGAACCTTCAAGTTTCAAGATTCATGATCTTAGGTTTGATGGCTTTTGTTTTTTTCTTTATCTCCTTTGATTGAAACCCGTTCTGCAGCATCAAGAGGCGGCAACAACCATCAACGGCAGGAATCAAGAAGATCTGAAGATCTATCTATATTATGTATATGGAGTCCGGCCAAAAGTCTATAGTAAAAAAATAGATAAAGGGGTCGAAAGTGGCTTATGATGTTGTTTTTTCATTTAGATTATGTAGCGGGCCCCCAGCTAAACACACCTATTCTGCAGCTGGGCGCTAGGTTTACGGTAGACTTGCGCTAGTGACGCCAGTGTTTGCCTTAGGACATGTTCAGAACGTCGTCAGGTTTTTGAAAAGTGGCTGGCTGAAAAATGCGCTAGCCGCGCGCTAGCACTGCGCTAGATCCGCGCTAGCAAACATTGCCACATTCCAGCGGTGGACCCTTCCAAGGCTGACTTGCAACCTGTCTTTTGTTTCAAGCATGGCTTGAAGCTCGGAGATCCGCTGAAAACGGTGCAGCGCTAGTGACGCCTCTTACAACTTGGCGCCAATACTTGCTTGGTCCATGTTTCCTTCATTAACCAGCTGTGTGTGCCAAAGGTAAAGAATATGTAGCGGGCCCCCATGTGACCACGACTTTCGGCCATTTCTGGAAGAAGACACTTCGACCAGAACCCATATTTTAAAAAATATATTATCAGATACCACCGAAGCTGCGGTAGACAGTAGCACCCAGGGGGCAAAAGAGATGAGCTTGAGTTGATAGATCCATTAGGGTCTATATTGCGCGTACCATGGGATCCAATTCACCATTGGAGAAAGTACAGTAGACAAAAAGCGCTCACCAGAATATGTGCTCCTTTTGTCAAGAACATGCTCTGCTTATGCGAATGTCAGCCAGCAATCAAGCGCTGTCTAAAGCAGTACTGTAACAGTCTTGATCCAGACTGGGCGCACTGTGCACTCTGTGCACGGGTTTTCGACCCCTGGAGTCTTTTGGCTCAGGTGCAGCTTGGAGTCTTTCTGTACGGTAAGACCACTTGGCTATGAACACAATAACACATTGACAACTACATGCGACAACTTGTGACCCCAAGTCATGATCCCTTTATACCCTTTGTTGATCTTTTTTGAATGGCCAAACACGGTCTCGTTTGGCCAATCAAATGGAATATATAATATACATGCATGAGCAGTCTTAACTTGCAGGACTTCCCAACCCACTGCACCGCAACGCGGCAACGCAACACCACGTGCTGGAAACAGTGGATAGTTGTAAGTTGTAAAATAGAGAAAAGGGGGTACAACAAACAGTGGTGATGCATACAACCTCTCTTGGGTTTCTCTAGGACAGACTAAAGCCAAGCAAGCTCTTTCGTGCGCCGTCAAATGCAGGCCGCTGGGAAATGGACCGGACAAGCGCCTGAGTATTTGCAGCCTTGCTTGTATTCATATACTGTATATAAATATCTATATATATATAGAGATAGAGAGATTGAGATGATATCGGACTATCCGAGATCACATCCGACAATTACTCCAGATGTGTGATTGCTTTTGCATGGACAAACACAAAACATAGGTGCCGGTGCCGATTGCTAGTTGTGTATGGATGCTTTGGGCGAGTTGAACCGAAGTTCTATGAGCTTTATTTATTTTGAAGTTTGAACAAAGCGTTTGCAATTGCAAATAAACACTTCCCTAACCATCTAGGAACCAATGATTAGTGCGTGAGCTATCCTGCCTCCTGTCGGTAGTAGCTACTTAAGCTAATTACTAGCTACCTCTCCCTACTAGCTACCTACCTAGCTAACCTACCTCTAGCGGCCTACCCCCCCTCAAAACAAACCAAGGAACTCTTACGAGCTCCAAGAATGGTTGGCGGCTCCACTCACACGTGTGCTGGAGTTGGTGAAACTCTTTGATCCTGCAGGTGGGAGTCGGGCGCAAATTTGGAGGTAAGAAACTCTGTAGTACTTACAGCCATTGTGACTGTGCCCCAAATGAAGCAAGTCTGGACTCTGTTAGTTCCTCTGTTGGGCAACTAGCGTTTGAGTCAAATCAGGACAGTGCTTCTACTGTACAGCAATCTAAAAGAGGACGGATGGTGATGGTAAAGCAGAAATCGAGATGAATAGCAAGTGTACCCCAGCCATTGGTTTACATTGCTCATTTTCATGGTGACCCTTGCGACGCTTGCTTTTGTCCTTCAACCAACAATGCCGTGTGCAATTTGACACCAAAAAGCTGTTTATGAGGGGATCAAGCAAGGGATTGATTCAATCTGAAGTGAATCTAGTCATTTAGACTCGGTACTAGAGTGATCTGAGGTTGCGTGTCCCTAAAAATCTTGGAACCAAATGAATAGTGTGAGCTATCCTGCGTCCATTCTAGCTTAAGTAAGGTAGTAGCTACCTCTTCGCGGCCTACCCCCCGGCCGTTTGAGCCCCTTGGTGCTTAGGTCACGGCAAGGTCTCGATGACCAAGGCCCCCCAGGATCACTACAAGGTAAAAGTGCCAGTGCTGCCGCTCATGTCAGCTTGTGCCTTGCCTGACAGGAGCTGCTTTATTAAAATGGACTCTTCATTTTGTGTAATGCTTCAAGCAGACTGACCGCGGTTTGCACTCTTATGCATTTTTCAGTTGTATAAGTCTCAAGATTCGTTAGTCAGTGAAGATGACTCCAACACATTAGGAAGGTTGCATTGAGTTGATCTGAGTTGTACCACGTAGATAGGAAGGCAAGGCAAGTAGTCTTGTCCGGTACTGTGGGCGTTGAATCTTATACAATACTTACTAGTAGAACAACCTCGCAGCGAGACTTGTGCTCGGAAGTGACCATCATGGTAGAGTCAGGTAATTAGAGGCTCCATTCACCATACTGATCCATACTGCCAATTTTTTTAGAATCGATCTAGTTTTTCTCGGTCCAGGTACTTTGAATTGAGCAGCGCCAAGAACTTGCACGTAAATGTTAGCAAGAGGATTCACCGATCACGGTGGTGTGAAAGCAAAACCCAGGCCGCGCAAACCCGAAAGCTTTTCGCGAAAGAGTCTAGAGATGTCTAGAGTCTCGAAATCAATTTGTTGCCAAAGGGCCGTAGCAACGTTGACGAAGTTCAAGTGCGAAAGCAAGAAGCAAGTGAGTGCGAAAGCAAGTGCGGAAGCAAGTGCGACATAAAGCAAGGAAGCGCGAAAGCTAAAACTTTGGTGACACAAGCAAAAAGGACATGTAGTTCTTGGGTTGGCTTGCCACGCGAAAACTTCTCTCTCTAACTCACTACCTTCCGTCAGTTGCCTTGTTTGATTTGGTTTGTGACTGACCTGGATCGATTGTGTTTTGCATCCTTTATTGGTTGCATTTCATACTTACAGCTAGGTAGCTGAGTTTGTAGAGGGTATGTTGCTGGCTGATCAAAGCCGTAGTTTATGGTATGGCTCATTGTGAATGCGCTCCCACAAGATTCAGCCACGCAAACCATCGGGGTTTCAGCAGCACATTAGAGCGACACATTGATACACTCTGAAGTGTTTCAAGTATCCCTGCACCCTTTTGGTGAAAGCTGATCATGACAGCAGTGTCGTTCTGCGAGCTGACAGCCCCACGAGTCGAACAGCGCGTAGTGCAAGCGGAGACGGAGACTGACTATTGGTGCTCGAATCTTCTTTTGGACTGGACCATACTGGAGCGTACTTCGAACAAAGTTTCGATGCTGAGGAAGAAACCGACAGCAGATGCTATGAATTCATGAATACCTATAATTACTCTATATAATATGTGTCACTGTTTCATACATTTTCATATAAATTTTTGGATACAAGGCGGTCATGAAACATTAAAAGGAGTTCTTCTCAGCCCCGTTTCAGCATTGTAGATGGCTGTAGGGCTGAAGGACTTGGATTTTGTGGATAAGGAGTCTTAGTGACTTAGTGCAAACGAATTCGTTGACGAAGTCTTGTTGGGTGACATGACCTGATCACACAAAGATAAGGCTTGGTGATGTCGCAAACCATGTCGAACCGTCAAAAGCTGCGCTTTCTGTTGGGCATGTTCGATTTGGACGACAAAGGATCCTTGCAGCTAGTTTGCAATTGAATTGGGCAGTTTTGGACCGCCCCAGAAGCTTATGACAGAATTGAAGTACTCGACTGTGGGTGACAGTTTGTCAACATTTCCTTTCATGAAGCCTTATCTATCCGTCCATGACGCATCATCTCACCATGACATCTCTGCCGAGACTCGACACCTGAATCAAGAAGGATGCAGATTGGAACGTATTTTTTGTATGCGTTGACTGTGCATTGCAAGTAGCAGGGTAAAGTAGGTAGGGACATTAAATTTAGCACGTTTATTAAAGCTGGTTCAAATTCAACCAAATAAGATACAGTAAAACAGTTATAATATATATATACATAGTTACGAGAATTCATAATTTTGACTCTGACTTTGATGGTATCGTGGCGTTGCGACTCATGCTATGTACATGCAACCTGTTTAACCGATTCCTCGCTATCCTGCATCAATGGACATTTGTGGATACCTATATAATTACATGATTACATGCGCAACGGCCGAAGCTGCAGAGCATGAATTGGCCCACACCTTCATTTTGTTCATGTGCACCAATGAACAAAGGTGCATCAACTGACATGAATTCACAAAATAGTCCTTTGAGTCCTTTGATGCAAGTCTCTTTTTTGTAATTATAATCCGCAGTGGCGATTTGTGAACACCTTCGACCTTCACCATGCAAAAGAAGGTCAAAGCTTGTTTCTAGGCTGGAATCCGGAACACTCAGCCGCTTATGTGTTTCCTTCAACAGCAGCATGCCAAACCTTTTCCTTTGGGCTTTTTTCAGTGACTTGTAGCATAGAGCGCTGCTGACGACCACCACACGACTCAATAAAAAGACAAATTAAGAGCACAACTAAGAAAAGAGGCTTTCCTGATCGTCACACACAGAATTACAAGGCATGGCACCAGGTGCAAGTTGGGGGTCTTGAACGTCTGAAGAATGCATTTGGTTGCTTGTCCGCTGCCCGCTCAACGACCTTTCGGGAGGGATACAGGTGCCTTTCATGATTTTCATGGTATCACTCCTACAAATGCACACCGCAACGCAAGCTCGGCTGGCACAATCTCTGCATGCTGAATTGTGCTGCAGGTCTTGTGAAAGTCATGACTAAAAAGATCCAAAAAGTGCGCGTGGTCAGGGTCTGCAGACCATCTTAGCTTGACTGTAACTATGCTCTCTAAACCGACATGAGACCTTTGATGACCTTTGTCCTTTTAGAGAACGACAACTTGGTTTTGCCATGTTTTGCCTGGATATTCATAGAGACTTGACTTGAAGTGACGCGGCACTGCTATGCACTGCTCAGAGTTGCCAAGGTCAATGCGAGAGTTCGCTTCCATGCTGGAGAACCTGTTGCGTGGATTGGGCTGTTTGTTCAAAGTCAAGGAGATTCCACGAACGATTGCTACAGCCACTTGGACGATCTGAGCTTTAAGCTTTGTAGGAAACAAACCTGGCTGGGTCTGCGATGGATCAATTCTTTGCAAGTACAGAGGCTGCCAGAAGCATTTTCGAGCAATTCAGGGGAGGCACAGTTCCGACGCTTGTCAGAAAAGTGCAAAGGATTTGATCTCAGAAAAGGTTTTGGAAGAAACTCAAAGTATGCATTGGATAAAGCGAACCATTACACCAAGCTTTAGCACACGCACGCACACACTTCGACAATTGTATTCAGTTATCTCGATTCCCACGTTGAGAAGGAAGGCGAAGAACCGAAAGGTGAAGCGTCCAAAA